ATTAGCCGTTGATCCGAATTATTTTACTCACAACACCTTGCTCCTGTAGGTTGATAAAAATATGTGAAAGTTTTATAGCCGCAAATTATATCACATTGGGAATACATATGGCGTTTGTTGTTTTTGAAGCAAAAGTCATTGACCCTTCTGTAAACATGATCACTTTTTATTCTATTCATTACTGGATTTCCGATTACATATTTTTGTTGATGATAGTTTGTTGTAATTTCATCGAAACCGATTTCAAACTGTGGCAGTATTCACACGTCAGTATTCTCTTGTTCTGTTTTTACGTCAAACTGATAAAATGATTAAAACCATGGGATCAGAGGGGAGAAACATGTGGTAGGTACAGTACAAATAGTCTAACATAACTGTAAATCAATCAGGTTTAAGTAAATCTTCCTGGGAATTATACAGAAAGCACGTGATACACGAGCTTCAGCGCGCTCATCAAGTCTAACATTATTGTCTTGCACTCCTGCTTTGTTACAATGCTCCGTAATAAAAACGCTCGTCTACAATTCTTGTATAAATTTTATAGTTCAACATGTTTTCTGGTAATCCCAGAGGTGTTGTCTTTGCTTAACAAACCTGACAGTTATTGAGCATGATCAACTAATGTTCCTCTCTGCGGAAGGTTGTACAATTCACACCAAATATCTTACTGGAGTTTATTTTAACCTTTTTTATCCGAGTCAGACAAATGCTTGTCGCAGTGTGTCCATTAGACAATGAAAGAAATATACACTTAACGGAAACGTATGCGTCTGTTTCAGAGGAACTCTTTATGGAAGATGATACCGCCCTTCCCTGCAACATTCCAACTAGATGCCGACGATTTCTCTATCAGTATTACTGATGGGAACGGTGCTGCAATAATCCAAATGGTTTTGATTTCTAATAGATGAGAATGACAAACACGCTTCTATATGATTCGCGCCAGAACAGTGTAGGGTGTTGTTAGGCAATCAGTTACCATTTGAAAAAAAAATCATACATAAAATATAGAGAATATTTAGATAAGTATGGTACTATATATCAACCACCAATTTGTGAATCAACATGTAGAAAACATTACTCGACTCGTAATTTTACACTGGGGTTCGAACATTCGAGATAAAACGTCAATAACCTAAAGTTTGTTTAAATACTGACAGATGGGAAACATGTGATGTCATTTTCTTTTTCCAACTGTATACAGATTTCAATTGTTTCTTTGGCTTCTTGCGATGATTTACACATTCAACTTGTATTTAGTTTCTCATCTCTCTGTCTAGCACTGTTGAATGATTTTAATTATGTTGGCGATGCGTTACTACCATTAGGTCTGTAAAGTGATTAGACGGTCCTTTGTCACTCTTAGTATACGAACATCCTGGCGATTAACACGACATCCACGACACTCCCACATGTACGCAACATCTAGTCCGGTAGCTTTTAGTACATACTAGCTGAAGGATCAAGCTCTGGGAGCGAGTCGTTTGTAAGCGTTCATCACGGCAAAATGTCTGGGATGGAGGAGATTCGACCCGGAAATAAGCCAGCAAATGGTATTGCTACAACCTATGTAGTTACATGGTTCAAACAAGGCCAGGAAAACCAGATACGTTATTGGCGTAGTCTGCAGGCGTTTGCTTTATGCTTCCTGAAAGCCAATAAAGATTGATTGGCTCAACAAGAAAGAAATTCTAAGAAGTGTTGTCTACAATTTCATTAAAAATCGAAGTTAAAGAAAACACATTATATTAGACAGTTGTGTCTACACGAATGCAACTCAGGTTACTTTCCTTAGATTAAATCTTGAAATACTGCAAATCGTTGTCAAGTAGATCGGGTGAGTGCACACCACAACTCCGAGTGAGTGATGTGTTCGTGGTAACAGTTGTTAAAACGCTTAGAAAAAAGTCGTGAAGCATTGTGGAAGCATCGCAGTATTTTGTCAAACTCTTCTGTGGAATTGAATCGTAAAATTCACTAAAAAAGCAATCTGCATTCAAAGATGTTTGCTGTATCAGACTTGTAATACAATTACGGAAGTGTTATGGGTGTGACAGACAAGGAAAAGTAACGGACTACCTTAGTTAAAGACGACCAGTACACACGGCAGAGTTCCAATTCTGGGCTAGATTTTATCGGTTCGGAGTATCTTCTTTTTCATTTGCATGATAAAGCAACTCCACATTTTTTATATATGGCATAAAGGCACCATCGCTGTCAAAATGGACAGATTATACTGAATATTTACAATAGTCTTGAATAATGTAATTGGTAAAATGTATTATCAGCAATGAAAAGGTTCCCGATTCAACCACTGATATTCCTTGGTTCGTTTGTTTCTTTGTTTCATTTTCTTTCAAAAAAATAAATATATAGATAATATTAAATCGATCGTATTTTTAGGGATATAACTGTTTTTTTGCAAGTGGAATTCAGCAACTTGTTTTAAAACGAAAACGAAAGAGTGTAAAGATATCTACGTTTATTTACATATAAAATAAGATAATTTTTCAATCAACTTGGTTTCAAGCTTTTTTCGGCTTATGCTTAAAATGGTTCAATTTAATATTGCAAAATTTCCCATCTTTCCATGAAAGTGACGTACAAAGGTTAATAAGCTAGGATGATAGAAATAGTTTCACACTAAATTTTAGCTGAAAATATGTTTATGCATATAGTCGAACAACTTTCATCATGATGTTTATAAAAGTTATTGTTATGTATTGACAGTCAATTGATCATTGATGGTATACGTCGACGCAAAGCAAAATCTGCAAAACTTCATTTGAAATAAAATCCGTCCCATAGGTGTAATACTTAACAAATTAAACCATGTTCCGCTGATTAGCTTACCAGTGTATAATATGAAGAAAAAAACAATAACATCGTATTGCTATAAAATTGCTCCATGCTATCATACTACATTTAGAACAAAACAGATGGCACGGTTAATAGTTCTCTCAACTTTCACCACGACGGTTTGGATTCAATATTTAGATAGGATCGGACGTGGAAAGATATTTGTTCTCCCGCACGACACCGTGTTTTGCGGGTGCTGAGGTTTCTTCAAATATTAAGGATTTATCAAGATTGACTTATATAATGTTATAAACCTTTTTTTTATTGTTGAAAAAAATATCACGTTTAATAAATGTTTTATAAAAGACACAGCTCAGCTAAAACCGATTTTTGATAAACAACCCATTCTTAGAACTTATGTCAAAGTAACTGTTTGGGGTGTCAGCCATCTCGCCTTAAGTTGTATGATCAAATTGCTGCCTTTCTGTGGCATCACCTTCTCCTAAACCAGGCACCAGACATTGGTCATTTTTCCAATCTTAGCTGTCAGAAAACCGATTCATGGTATTGCATTTCTACACCGTCCTTTCATTTGGTTGTATGCTGAGGAAGACGGATGGCTACAGAAACGTTTCAGTGAATGACAAGGCGTAATTTGTAGTAAGCCTTGTAAATGTCGGAAGGAGTCAGGAAAACTAATCCAACACAGCCATGGAACTATGTAGGTATAGGAGAAATCAAATCACTCACCATGTTTGGCGGATTGACCGTATTCGGGCTATTATCGAAATATGTCTGCACTTCTATCGTCAACAAACATGGCGTCTGACCGACTGTCAGGCATAACGTATAAATGGACCTTATTACGTGCCCCGGTAATAAATATACTATTGCAAGGACAAATAACCAAGCTAAAAACACACGGACAAAAGTTTTGGAATAAGCCTAGCAAGTAGATTGAAAACGCAATCGAATGTAAAAAGTATTTGGTAAATCAATATTTAGATTTATGAATGGAATTACTACCAGTGTATGGAAATGAGAGTATCTACATATCTATTTGTCCTATATATTGGAATGAAAGAAATCAAGGACGTTTCGATAACCTACTTAAAACTTTTAAAATATTTTGAGGTAGTGATTCACGCAATATCGCACTGCAATATTTCATCTTATGTCGAGGCAGCGGGTATGAAAATAAACATCTAGAGAGAACAGTTATTCGAGACATATATAACTAAACGTCAATTGGAAAGAGGTATCCTAAGTAATAAACTGGGAGCTTCTACAACCACAAATAAAAAAAGTCCAGAATTAGAATACAGTTGCAATTTAAACCGACATCAACGGAAACCGAAGACTCATTAAAACCTGTGTTTTTTTAATTTCTGAAAATAACAAGCTAGGTCCCTTTAATGTTGTGACCCTTAAAACATGTTTCAGACTACTTTAAACAACACAGAAGTATAGGTACTGAAGCTGGGAATAAAATATGTTTCTGTCGGGTAAATACAGATGATGGGTAGTCGTTTCCGGCTCAACATGTGGTACTGATCATGACATTTCCTGTCAAATCTAAGAAAGGATATCAGTCATCATCGATAAGAGACGGTAAACAAGTCTCCAAACAAAAACGATTTTTGGATATTGTGACAAGGGCCATTGACGTTTTCAACCCCATTCCAATCATGATCTATAACAATTTTCAGTCCATTAATGCGTGTTATCATAAATCATTATCGTATGGAGTTTAATTTTCGTGAATGTGAAGGGAGCGCTGCGTGATTCCCCTGGACACCAGCTCGTTTGTCAGCGGATACGTTGTTTACAACAATAAACTACATTATTATCATAATTTATCTGACCATCAGCAGACATATCAAACAAGAACTCATATACAACAGAAATAAAGCTTGGAATTATCTTATTTGATGAATTTATAAATAATTTTCATATTTGTTTCTGTATTTAAATACAAACGAGTATTGTAAACTAATATTACTTTTTGTGAGAAAAAAAGGAAGCTTATTTTAAATGTGCATATGATACGGAATGAAACATTGAAACATAGACAAAGACATTCTCTTAACTTAATCGATATCTCAATTTATTTTAAAATGCTAAACAACTTTCTTCTTCCTAATGTCTCCCTTGACAATGCCAAGAAGGACACTCGCTTTAGACCGGCCCTCGACCCTGGTATGAAGCTGGCCCTGACTTTGCGACACCTTGCTTCTGGTGACAGCTATGCCTCGCAGAAGTTGGGCTGGAGAGTACCTCACAACACACAGTCACTGGTGGTCAGAGAGGTTTGCCATTCCATACTGGACGAGTACCTGGATGAGATGCTGACCTGCCCCAGTACGCCAGAAGAGTGGAAGGAAGTTGCTAACAGATTCTATCAGAGGTGGAACTTCCCCCATGTCCTGGGAGCTCTAGATGGCAAGCATGTGTCCATTAGGTGTCCTCCAGACAGTGGCTCCTTGTACTACAACTACAAGGGGTTCTTTTCAATCGGGTTGCTGGCCCTTGTGGATTCTGACTACAAGTTCGTGTGGGCAGATCTTGGAGGCCTGGGATCAGCATCCGATGCCCAGATCTACAACTCCAGTGAGCTGAAACATGCAGCTGAATAAGACCTGCTTGGGTTTCCACAGCCTACACCTCTCCCACAAGACACTACAGATGTTCCATACTTCTACATTGGAGATGACGCCTTTGCCCTGATATCCTACATGATGAAGCCCAACAGTCTCCGTGGTGTATCACAGGAGGAGCGCATCTACAACTACAGACTGTCGAGAGCCAGGAGGGTCGTGGAGAACGCCTTTGGGATCCTTGCCAACAGGTTCCATGTGATTCTGGGCACTATGCAGCACAAGCCAGAGATTGTCAAGCTGATAGTGAACACCTGCTTGGTTCATTAGCAACCTGATGAGGGTCAGGTATCCAACGCTGCAGAACCAACAGCTGGACCAGCAAGCAAGTCCAGAAGAAGACTTTGTGCCTGGTGCCTGGAGAGATGGTTTCAATCTGGAAGACACACAGGTTGTTGCAGGCCCCAACACTGCGACCAAGGAGGCCAAGAAGCAGAGGAACCTCATCAAACACTGGGTCAACTACTCAGCTGGTGCAGTGGACTGGCAGGACAGGATGGTGTAGACGTGGACCCTAGTGTTGCAATCCAGAATGGACTTAATATAGACTTTACTTTTTGGTAGACACAATTTTTAGAAACTGTAATATTGTATGTGTAATTTACAATGACTTATTTGTAGATAACCGTTATAATAAATGTAATATTGTCCATACGGTAAAAATACTTATTTGTATTAAACATTGTTACAAAATAAAATATTGCCTGAATAATGTAAAAATACTTCTTTGTATAAATCTTTATTAGAAAGATTGCAAATAAAATATTGACTGTGTAATAAAAAAAGTGAGAAGAATCAAAAACATATTAATAAATTGAAATGTATATGTCATGCAACCATGAATTACTACGCATGCATGATGTATATACCAGTATTTGCCTAACAGGTACATACATTATACATGCATACGCATATTCAAGTATGCACATATAGGGTTACAATAATTTTAATTTTTTGGAGTATCGTTATGTGGGTATAATGTTGTGTTGGTGTATTGTGGGTTGGTGTGTTGTTGTATTGTTTAATTGTTGTGTCGGTGTATTGTTGTGTTTGTGTATTGCTGTGTTGTTGTATTATGTTATGGGTGTATTTGTGGATTGGTGTGTTGTTGTATTGGTGTGTTGGTGTATTTGTGAATTGGTGTGTTGTTGTATTGTGGTATTGTTGTATTGTTGTATTGGTGTATTGTTGTGCTGTTGTATTGTTGTATTGGTGTATTGTTGCGTGTGTGTGTATTGTTGTGTTTGTGTATTGTTGTGTTGTTTTATTGTTGTTTGTTTCATGTTGTGTTGGTGTATCAAGTTTTATTTCTACCAACATAACAATATTGAAAACAGGAAATTGAAAGTTTCATACAGGTAAAAAGCAAAGTTCAAAATATGTACAACATATATTTCTACAGTCCTAAAAAAAAGTTCTAACAGTCAGTCTTTTGCTGGTGTAGACACTCTGGTGGGGAACACGGTAACGTCCATGGCGGCACAGGTGACAACCGGGGATGGAGAGCTGCTGCCTTGGTTGCTCTGGTCCATGGCGTTACTTGCAGAGCTGATGGGCGTATGGACGGAGGCATAGGTGGTGGTCGGTGCTGTCAGCGCATGGAAGACGGGATAGTTGCTACTCTGTTGCTGGAAGAACCGTGGCGGCTGGTAGGAGGAGTGTGGCGGCTGATAGGAGGAGTGTGACTGCTGGAAGGACACCTGAGGCTGCTGTAAGGACGAGTGAGACTGCTGCTGGTTGTATGTGGCCATCCACTCCCTGTTCTGTGACTGCCAAGGATGCCAGTGGGCGGGTTGTCATGCCACTGGACAGGGTCCGGCTGGAACAGGTCGCTCTGGGCTTACCTGGTGGTTGTGATGCAAGGAGGGGAGGGGGGGGGGGGGGGGGGGGCAGACCGACATCTGGCTGACAAGGTAGGCAGGTCATCCTTTTCCTCTTCAGTGTCTTCATCCATTAGCCGCATGAGGATCTTGTTGAAGCTGGCCCTGGCCTTCTTGAACTTCAGCCTCGACATGGTGATAAGGCTGTCCCTCACGTAGTTGGCAAAGGTCGACACAGGGGTCACTGCTGGAGGCTGGACCAATCCCTTAAGTATAGCCTCTGACTCCTTGACCTTCTCCTGCAGGGTACCAATCACGTCATCCTGGGTGGTGGTATCCTTCTCCTGTCCAGATCTTCTGGGTCTCTTGGAACTCCTACTGCTGGAGGCTGCTATGGCAGATGTGGTAGATCTGGAAGGTATGGCAGTAGACTCCGTGATAGAAAATCAATCGACCGGTAAATCCTCCTCCTGGACAGTTGCTGCAGCTGATACTCTGCTGGGCAGGATGGGCTTGGCTGGCTCCGGTGTGTGTCGCACTACCTCCTGCAGGAATCTGAAGTTGCTGAGCACCCACTCGTCCCTCTCTGTTCTTCTTGGGGCACCGTCACCGCTCTTGTGCTTAATGAGTCTGGTATTCTTATCCCTCGGTGACCGGAACCAGCCCCTCAAGTGCTTCACTGTCTTGTGCATCTTCATTGCCTGGGTCTCCCACAACTTCCCCTTGTTGGTAATCTTGTGGTAATCCTGCAGCTTAGAGTCCCACAATGTCCTGTTCTATTGTAACCACTCGACCATGATGGCCTCATCAGATTCAGAGAGGCTGCAGTTTATCCTGTCGCTCTTGTTCCTCTTGCCTCTGTCCTTTGAGGAGGCTGATGACAATCTTCTGGAGGAGGAGGAGCTAGACCCTGTAGACCCTGGAGAGGCTGGAGATTGCGACTAGGACCTGGAGGGGGTGACTGTTGCCCTCTTTTTCTGCGGCTGCTTCTGCTGCTGGGGGTCGGCCTCGCTTTCGACAGGAGGGGGTGGACCTCTGCGATGATGGTAACAACCTCCTGGCTGGGAGATGGTGCTTCTCGTTGGCCCATGCTGCTGCCCCGACCTCTGCTGCTACCCCGACTTCTGCTGCTAGCCTTCTTGCTCTTGGGAGGCATACTTCTGCGATGTTGACTGCGCGGTGGTTGAAATGGAAGTGATGCACTCTGGCCAAGAGCTCCCTTTTATACTGCGCATCCAGCAGCAGGTTGGCGAAACGTTACACAAACGCTCCACGCGTTACTCGAACGTTACAGGAACGCTAGGCAGACGCTGTGGAAACGTCGAAAACGTCAGCAAGACGCTCGGCAAACGTCGAGAACGTCGGCTAGACACTGGAATAAACAATGAAACGCTACCTGGACGCATGGCAGACGCTACTCAAAGCGCTGTGGACGCTATGAGAACGCTATCAAAGCGCTGAGAACGCAATGGAACGCTAGGTTTTGCCGCTATTTTCGACAACAAATGTCGCCTGACGATGAGTGAACGTTGGCTGAGCGTTACCCAAGCGTTACAAGAACGTTATAACAACGTTGACCTAGAAACTCAATTTGAAGAACGTCGACGTTACCCGACGTTTCTCCAATTTTTTCAAAACGCAACCAAACGCCCAACAAAACGCTATAGTGTGACAGGGCCTTGTAAGGCCTTTAGTTAAGCGTTGCCCCTGTGGAGAAGGCTTTGGGTTTTGTCCCCTGGCCGAGACATACCAGAGTCTGTAAAAATGGTAGTTTCTACTCCTGCTTAACACTCAGCAGTTTAGGAGTGGGGCGACTGGTTCGCCCGTTGTCAGTTTAATGTGACCGATTGGGGTGTCCTGCTGGGTGTCGTCGGCAGTATGTTTCAGTGAGGTAGCACTATAAAGTCGACATCAGTTCCTCGCTATCACAAGGAGACAAACACGAACATATCGCAGCCTCCCAAAACACACACGCAAACACTACACACATGCATCTTGCACACAGGGGAGGCCGTCCTTAATTGACTATAGCTGTTAATAGAACGATAAACATACTAAATCAAACCAAAAAGCAAAGACAATCTTTGTATACCACACAACAGGGATGGAAATGTTTGGATATCGGTCAAAGTAAATTTATCAATCCTGTTCGGTTGATTTGGGACATATTATTTTACCAATGTAGAACTCTATATGAATAACATAAAACAAGTAGAAAATTGAAGATAAATTAATATCAATGGGACCTTGGTTGATTTTGTGCGCTACCTTAAATCTGACAAATTCGTCATTGTATAATTTCATTTGAAATTGAAACATATCAATTACGAAGATCAATAATACGTTCATTTGTTTTGAACATCAAATCACAATACTTCACGATATTGTTAATCTATATGACAATGTGGATATGTTAATTACATGTAATAAATATTTGTGAAGTTTCTCCTCAACTCATTATAAATTGTGTCATTTTAACGACATTTCTGACGAAGAATACAATGATTTAGTTACAATATACTCTCAGTAAGCAAGCAGAAAAAAATCGAACAAAACCATGTCATTTTAATTTCGTAGTTATAAATTGATATAAGTACAGTTTTTGAATTCATATATTTCCTATGTATTAGTCAGTTAATGCTTTGTTGCCATTGGTTATGCCATAACTTTATGATAAATAATTAGTTAATAGCTTACATCTGTACAAATGCTGAAAAAAGGGTAGCTGTCGATGACGATATGTTCCATGACGTATATAATGTATTACTAATTTTATATTATGACGTCATTCGATGACGTGGCAAATCAAAATCAATATTGTAAGCTCAAGATAGACATTGAACTTTCTTATTTTCGTTTACAGAATTGTGGAATTATTGGCTGACTTGAATTTATCCTCTCATCTTTATATCTAGCACGATAAGCACATGCTGAATAAAAATGCATTAAAGTGATATAAGTTAGGATTTTTGTTTTAAAAATGTTTCGTGTCGTCATATGGGTTCTATCTTAAAATCTTTTTTGTTTTCAAGTATATTAATATTCAATACATTACAATGCTAATATAGGGTTTGGATAACTTGGGTTTCAATGAAGTAAGTTCTTCGCATGTTTGAAAGAAGTATAATAATTACAGTAAAATAATAATCAGTTAAGTAG